CTTGTTTTCGAGAGGTTAAGCTGGACAATGCAGGAGGCGGCTGAAATCACGCTAAGGAACATCTGGGATGCAATCCAACAGAGCAACCAGGAATTACGAGTATACATCGATGCAAAAGTCTCCCCAATACAATCAAGCATTGATCAAATACAAACATCAATGTCCACAATTTGCGACCAGATCACTGCGGTCGAGCAAAGAGTAAGTACGAACGAAGACAACATTGATGATCTCGCCAAACGTGTTCAGCACCTTGAGAAAGACAATGCTTACCTTAAACAGAAGATTGATGACGTTGAAAACAGGAGCAGGGCTTGCAACCTCCGATTTATAAATATTCCCGAACAGTCCGAAGAGAGGGATGTGGTCGGATTCATTGTCAAACTTCTTCCCTATCTCTTTGGGCAAGAAAACTTCCCCACTCCGACACGCATTGAAAGGGCCCATCGCTCCCCAACAATGCCTTACTCTGGATCAAAGGCAAAGCCACGACCGATCCTGGTGAAATTCTTGAGCTTCCAGGAAAAAATCCGTATACTACGCCTAGCCAGAGATAAGCAGGACCTTCGCTTCCAGGGAGCGCGTATCCACATATTTCCTGATTTCAGTGTGGATCTGGCAAATCTATATCCATCGACTCTGCGGATCATGGAAAACGGAAAACCACGAAACTTCAAGTCTCCAGCTGATGCTGAAAACTATATCTCCCAACTGGATGCGTCACTCTCCTCCACGGAGTAAAGTTAGTGAGTAACACTCATGGGAAGGTCATTCGCTCGCTCACATTATAGTTAGCGATACTCTTACGTATGCAACGCTTGAGATATTTTGTTTCATTACTAAGTTACATTAAGTATTTGCCGTAAAATAGGACGTCGTGACGTGATGACGTCAGGTCGTCGTAAAGTTTGATAACTATCTGCTGTATGCCCTCGTTTTCTGTTGATATATTCACGGCTACTTTTCGACATAATATTTGTAAATATCAGGGCCTGTTATATTATATTACATTTGTTTACTAATTTTGATCCTGGATCAGGATAAACATTGTCTCTTCCGGATTTGTTGTCACATTTGTCTTGCTAAATGTCTGTGTGTGTGTGTGTGTGCGTGTGTGTGAGAGCGCGTGTATCAGCTCAGCACTTCTGGCGTCCAACCCGGGGTCCCCCACAAATTATAGGATATTTGATTGGTTAGATTAACACTAAAGGCCTTAAAATAATACATCTAAATGTTAGGAGTCTTCCATCTAAAATCAACCTTCTCCGTGCCTGGGTTGCGCTACACAAACCTAACATCATTACCCTATCTGAAACTTGGCTACACCATAACATTGCAAACTCTGAAATTAACATTGATAATTTCACTATTTATAGGGCTGATCGTGGTGCAAGAGGAGGTGGTGTACTTATATATGTTGACAGTAGCCTTAACTCTAAATGTATTCGTCCTCCAATTGAACCCATTCAATTCGAAAGCCTTTTTGTGAAAGTAATTTTACATGCCAACAAATCATTGATAATTGGTAGTATCTATAAACCGCCTTCATCACAAGCCGATACAATGCAGAATATTTTAAATACAATAAGCTCTCTAGAAATACACAAAACGAATGAACTACTTATTCTTGGCGACTTCAACAAAAACTGGCTAGACAAGTCTTCTGCAAAAGAAAGAAGCCTTGTGAAAAGTGCAAATCTTACTCAAATAATTAATGAACCCACAAGGGTAGACAATCGGTCCTCATCTCTACTGGACTGGATTCTAGTCACCAATCCGGAACGAATAAGTGCATCTGGTGTCATGAGTGATTGTATGAGTGACCACTCCATAATATACTGTGTCTGGAAAATTATGCTTCCCAAGTGTCCCCCTAAATATATCCAATATAGACAATGCAAAAATATGAATGTGGATCAGTTTAAACACGATCTACTTAATATTAATTGGGATCGCCTTTCTCTGATTCCACACATAGATGATGCTTGGGACTTCTTTCACTCAGAGCTTACTACTGTCATCAACAAACACGCTCCAATGAAAATTAGAAAGGTCAAAGGTAGAGCTTTGCCTTGGCTAAACCCAGATCTCCTCAATCTATATAGACTCAGAGACAAAGCCTGGGAAAAATATCGAGGCAGTAAACATCCTGAGGACTGGGAAGCCTACAGACGCCTGCGCAATGATAGTACCACACAAACTAGAAACTCACAATCTCAATTTTATCAGAAACACTTATCCCAGGACTTTAAAAACACAAAACAATTCTGGAACAAATTAAACTCTGTGCTTAATCGTAAAAATAAGGACCAAATCGAGCATATCTGTATAAACAATGAAATCATATCTAATCCCGCTAAGATTGCTGATGCCTTAAACAAACATTTCTACCTTAGTACCCAGATTCAACCAACCCCATTCTGTAAAACAACATATCCAAATGAAACACCTCAATCTTTTTTTTCATTTAAAAGAATCTACCCATGTCAAATACTCAAAGTCATAAATAATATTAATACAAGAGCAAGTGCTGGACCTGATGGATTAGAGGCCAAATTTATTAAATTGGCAGCTGAGATTCTTATATTCCCATTGGCGGAACTGTTTAACCTGTCTCTCGATACTAACTCACTTCCAACAATTTGGAAATGTGCTAAAATAATACCAATTTTTAAGGGTGGTGATGTAACAGATATAAATAATTATAGGCCAATTTCAATAATATGTACAGTACAAAAAATATTCGAAAAACTAATATTTAATCAACTATCATCTTATATTAATGAACATAATATTTTATCACCACTCCAATCTGGATTTAGACCTAATCATTCCACAACTACAGCCCTTATGAATCTCTCAAACGATATATATACTGCACTCGACAACCAAAACATCACAGGAACTATCTTCATTGACTTCACCAAGGCTTTTGATACTGTTGACCACTACCTCTTACTGGACAAGCTTTATTCAATTGGTCTATCCAAAAGTGCCTTGCTGTGGTTTAACTCCTACTTACATTCAAGAAAACATTATACAACAGTTCGAGGTGAATCATCCTCTACCACCACAGTAGCAAAAGGAGTTCCTCAAGGATCCTCACTTGGTCCACTTCTATTCTCCATATACATAAATGATCTACCAAAAATTATAAATAAATGTAAAGTCCACCTGTATGCTGACGATACGGTTATCTACTGCTCCCATCACAACCTACATCACATACAGGAATCCCTTCAAAATGACTTTGACCATATACAAAATTGGCTTATTCAAAACAATCTTATTATAAACAGTAAAAAGTCATACAGTATGTTGTTCAGGAAACCATTGAGCACAAACGTACAAAATCTCTCAATACAATATTTGGATAAAACTCTACTGCAAAACACTGAAGCCTTCAAATATCTCGGGCTATGGCTTGACCCAGAACTCTCTTTCAAACCACACATAGATCATATACTAAATAAAACTTATGCTCTTCTTGCCCAACTTCACAGGTCAAGTAGTTGTTTCACACTCGACATCAGAAAAAGAATAGTCCAGCAACTTGTGCTGCCAATAATTGACTACGGTGACATAGTCTATCAACATACTACTGATGCTGTTCTTAAGCCCTTGACCACTCTTACAAACTCACTCTGCAGATTCATACTCCGATGCACTTATTTCACTCATCATTGCTCACTATATTCTTCATTGAGTTGGTTACAACCCAAAGCAAGAAGACAGTTTCATTGGTTTTATCTTCTTGTATAAATGTATTTACCTTGATGTACCTGATTACCTAAAACAACATATGGTTCCATTTAGAACCTCACACTCTTTAAGAAATTTGAATTCTCCGTATTTCAGAATCCCCATTGTACGTAGAGAGGTGGGAAAGAGGGCATTTCGATTTAAAGCGGCTCATGACTGGAATAATCTGCCCATGGAACTCCGATCACTATCCTCCCTGCCACAATTTAAAGCAGCTGTATTTACAAGATTAAACGTATCGTGTGCCTGTTTTTAACATATTATATGCAATGTGTTCTTTTACTGTGTTGAAAACAACTAAGATTATATTCAACGGTTGGGGCTCTCAGTCTACAACAATTCATAATCAAGTTAATATGACTCTGAAACCCTTGGATAGTGTCAGCTGTGGGGGGGTGATGGGGGGGCTCTGGAAGTGCGGTGCTGAATGAATGTGAATGTTATTTGTTTGGAATTCTGTTCCCTTATTTTTCTTTATATGTTTTTTTTGGTAAATCATAAAATGTTTGTTTTTCATGTTGTCACAGGACCCCCTTGAAAAAGAGATGGTTCATCTCAAGGGGTTATCCTTAAGAATAAATAGTGTTACTGCAAATGGCGAAATAAATGAATCTGAATCTGAATCTGATCTGTTCTTGGAAAACATGTAAAGAGTTATGTTTTTCTCCTTATTGCCATTTTAACGATGCAAAATGACTTGGGCAATATTATATTGTATATATTATACTATGTACCTATTATACTATGTACCTGACATGTCGATGGCACATGGACTCTTAGAAGAAACCCATACGAATTGCTTTCTCTGCAATGTATTAGTTCACTTCTTAAAAAAGATTTCTAGTCAGGGTGCATTTATTCATTAATACACTGTAACTTGAGGGACGTATGGCGTCAAAATAGGGTCTGCTTAAACGTAACCGTAAAGCAGGAATTGTAAACGTAGGTTGTAAGTATTGTAAACATAAAAATATATTGTAAACGAAAAAACTGTAGTAAACGTAAAACTTACACTTACATTTCACATTTTTCATGTTTCGCTTCAAAAGTTACGTTTACAATTCACGAGTTACGTTTACAATTCACAAGCTACGTTTACGATTCAAAAGTTACGCTTACGGTTCAAATTTAATCTGACCCCTTTTTGGAGGGGCGGGCTCAGCGCGCTCATTGGCTGGAGGGCCCGGATGTTACGTCATCACAAAACCAAAACACACGGACGTTACTACAGAAGATCCATGCTGAAGACGGAGAAAACTTTGAACCGCGAAATGGAAGAAAGAACATCTAGGGAGGTACAATACATTATGTATGTATGTGTTATATTATGTTATATTTTGATTTAATTTGGCTAATAACATTTATATGCGCAGATCTTTATCATAAAGCATACATTTATGGTTCTGCTGATGCATCGCTAGCATCATATTTCAATTTTTCTTTAAGGAAACCTTGGGAAACCTTGTCATGACAAGACTACTGGACCGCATTCAACAGGCATCTCGCCACCCTCTGGATCTTCAGTTTTTGCATTTTATTTGCAACCATGAACTGACTTTTATTCAGTCACTTTCAGACCAAACTTCTATTCCTCAGGATGTCATAGCTGCCCTTTCGACCCTTTGTGGAGTACTGACTACACAACTCAGTGATAGGACTGTTCAGCCCATTGGGACTGAGATAACAACTGGTGAAATGGGACATTACAAATACAGACTAGATAAAGATATTTTACAGCATTTTGTGACTATGGGGCACTCCGTTACAACAATATCTGGACTTATGGGTGTCTCAGTATCTACTGTAAAGCGCGCTCTAAAAGAGTATACAATCAGCATTAGACAAACGTACAGTACTATACAAGACAATGAACTAGATGAACTTGTCAGAACCATCAAAGTAACTATGCCCAATATGGGATCTCGGACGCTGAAGGGTAAGCTACAGGCACTGGGTCATCGCCTCCCTTGGACTCGAGTATGGGCATCCCTGAGACGGGTAGATCGTGTCGGAGTCCTGTGCAGAGCCACACATGTTGGTTATGTCGTCCGGAGGTCCTACAGTGTCCAGGGACCTCTGTCCCTTGTTCATGTGGACAAAAATCATAAACTCATCAGGTCAGTCACACACAATAGTTTTAAGGTAGCTCCCAAACAGTATTCCTAGGATTCTTTGTAGCAGTACAGTTCATTGTATTTCAAGTCATGGGTGCGCCACCGCTTAGTAGATGGTGTAGACCTGGCCAATGTTGTAGTTCTTGTTTAGTATGATTTTATTCATAAATAGAACTGTTTTTACATAATGACATTTTATTCTATTTATGTTATGAGACTAAGGATTTAATCCTTTTATAGGATTAAAGGATTTAATCCTTAGTCTAAAACTTTTCATTTAAGAGATGTGTCATGTTTCCTTTACGCAGATATGGCTTTGTCATATTTGGTGGCATAGATGGATACTCACGAAAGGTACATTTTAAAATTAAACTCAGCAGTAGTTCTTCTATTAATAAAGTTTTTGTTTTAAATACAGATTATATACTTGGAGGCTGCAACGGACAATAAATCCACTACAGCGTTAGGATTCTTCCTGGGATCTGTGGCAGAGAATGGTCTTCCTTCCAGGTAACTGAATTTCATAATGTCACATACACCCATGTTGTTTAATTCTCTTCATTTTAAATGAGAGCAATGTATGTTCCTTCAATTTTCTCTGCTCATATTTACCAAGGTTATGTTATAGAATGATAACATGCCCTGCTCAAAAGTCATTTTGACTTTTTTTTCTGTTCTTATAGGGTTCGTGGAGACCAAGGCGTCGAAAACTTGCAAATAGCAAGATTTATGTTTTCCATTCGTGGTTGTGGTAGAGGAAGTTTCATGTCTGGCAAGAGTGTTCACAATCAGCGGTTTGTATTAACCCAATCATTTAGAACATGCTGAGTATAAATAGATTATTATTAGCTATATTATATGTGGGTAATCTATTCTTGTTAGTATGTAGTTTACTTAGTTATAACACATTGCATCTGATTGTGACATTTAATTTGTGTCTTTTTTCAATGTTCCTTGTCAGATTGATTTATTATTTCTTATGTTCACAGTATTGAGAGACTGTGGCGTGATATGTGGATGTCAGTGACAAGTACATACTACGAACTTCTCCACAGTTTAGAGGAAGAGGGCTCTCTGGATCCAACCAACAGTCTTCAGCTTTTTTCCGCTCAATACGTATTCTTGCCAAGGCTAACATCAGACCTCCACAGCCTCATCAATAGCTGGAACAACCATATTCCAGCAACCACCCCCTTCGCACTGAACAAAATCTCACACCAAACCAACTTTGGGAGATTGGCAAAGCACTGAATCCAGTCCCATCTGCACAGGTGTTAGGGCACTTACGTTTTGCTATTTATAATATGTCAATGCGTTGTCTAACCCAAAGATGGTAATCTTTTGTTTTTTTTACAGCACACACTTTACCAAAACCCTCCAAGTCAAGACGAAGACCTGGAAGCCTCTGGAATTGTAGTCCCACAAATTGCATGTCCCATGCCACAGCAAAGTCTGGAACTATTAAGGGCTAGGTTCAACCCACTTGCACCTTCATGTGATTTCGGACAAGCTATATACATTTTGGTTTTAAATTATGTTCTGCTTCACAGTGCCACGCAAGTGTAAAATATTTCAATGGAAAAGTAAAAATATGCAATAAGAGATGTTTATTTGCAGTTCATTTGACACTTGACATTTATTCAATTTTACTGCAGATAACCAAAACCAGTTTCACATGAACGGCGACATCTCTAAATTAGTTTCAAGTAACGGAATATTTATTCATGAAACAAACATTCAATACGAAATGTGTGCCTTGAAAAAGTCATTTAACTAGACAATGTGAAATCCTCCACTGCATGTAACTGCAGTAGTGAAGTTTGATTTAAATTCTTCATAAGTGTTGAAGTGAGCAGTTGGAAACGTAATGGTCTGTGAGCATGTCGGGTAGTGACGTCACTACCCGACACGCCTACTACTCGACACGCCTCCGTACTGCAAGCCGCAGACAGACCCTTCTCCATATTTGTCTTAACAATTTTTATCTTTTTCTTTTAGCGCCCCTGGGCGCCCCCTGGTGGCTGGGTAAAGCACATTGGTGTGGTCCCCCACCTTTGCATGTGATTTAGTGCACTTGCTGTGTCTTCCCTCCTCTCTTATCTCACATTCCTCGGGCCAAGGCCATCATAATAAATCTGGACTCTACAACAATTTCACACTCTCAGTCAGTTCCAGCTTGGATCCCGCTCCCCCCGCCTCCCTCTGATCTCTCCCTCCCCTCCCCTCCTCAATGTGTTTCCGACTCACCCCCTCCCTGACCCCGCCCCCCTCTGACAGCCACCGGCTGCAGAAGGCGCTCATCCCGAAAAAAGATCCGTGGTTTATACAAAGCACAATGTTTTCTATCCAACTGTCTGTTGTAACCTGTATGTTATTGCTCTCTGCTGTTTATTCTACTGTTTGTCGCATGGCGCCGGAAAAGATGGCGCCGTGGCAAGAGCTCTGGTGTGTGTCGTCTCTGTCTGGCGCACACCGGGGTAGTCTTGCACAGTTTTTCCAATGTGGTTTTACTGCAAATGGCAAATAAATGAATCTGAATCTGAATCTGGTTCACGAGTTAGTTTGCACATTTAATTTGCTGTGTCTTTTTGCTGTGTCCACTGTGGTGAGTATTCTGTGTAGCACCCCTGGGCATGCTACCCCTGGGTAGCATGCTCACCACCGGTGGCCCGAGATAGCTCCCTTTTTGTTATGGTATTTACATTTTTAGCATCTAGGCCTTTTTTAGATTCAGCTTCACCATTTTAATAACTTTTTAATAAACTTTTACTTTTTGTTTAATTTAAATAAAATGGATACTTTTCTAAATGAAAATTAGATAATTCTTATTTTTAGCAGCATCTTTTTCTTCAATAGTCACGTCTGTGTCATGTTTTAATCAGATACAGTACTTACCTGTGTTCCTTTTTATATTGTAATTTGATTGTGACCCTTGGGTTTTTAAAATCAACCATACCCTCGGTATGCTAAATTTGTTTATACTTTATTTTTTTTATTTTTCTTAATCTATAGTTTCTTTGTTTTTAGTTTACACCTTGATTTACATTTATTTTGCAGCGACAGGTTGTCTAAACCAACTGGGTCCGGTCATATTTGTTTTTAACCATTTTTACCTTTTTCTTTTAGCGACGCCACCCTGGTGGCTGGGCAAGGCACATTGGTGTGGTCCCCCACCTTTGCATGTGATTTTGTGCACTTGGTTCATGAGTTGATTTGCTGTGTTGTTTGCTGTGTCCACTGTGGTGAGTATTCTGTGTAGTACCTCCGTGTGGAGCATGCTCACCACCGGTGGCCCCAGCTCGCTCCCTTTTTGTTTTTGGCATTTAGGCCTTTTTAGATTCAGCTTTACCATTTTAATACCTTACCTTTTTATAAATAAACATTTTAAACTTATTCACGTCTCTGTCATATTTTATTCAGATACTTACCTATGTTCCTTGTATATTGTGACCCTTGGGTTTTTAAAATCAACCACACCCTCGGTATGCCACACGTGCGTAAAAAGATTTGTGCATATGTAACCAAATTTGTGCGTGCGTAACAAGATTTGTGTGTGCGTAACTAGATCTGTGTGTGTGAAAAAAAAAAGTAAGTCTTTTTTGGCAGATTCGCAAGTGTAACTTGTACAGTGTGCGTGTGTGTAATTTGACATTTGTATCTGTGAAAAAACAATCTGTGTAAATAACCACCTTAAGAGAAGAACGGAAAAACGCCTAAATGCTACGCACAGGCTCTCGTTTTAGACGCTAATCACTTGACACACTTCTGCCGCTAAGCATGAGTCAAGAGATTCGTAAGTGTAATGTAGTTGTTCTAGCACTATACCAATCAATGGTGCTGTTGTAGCTGGTTATTACACATAAGCAAACCAAAACCTGCTGTTTATGATGTAAGGCAAACCTGCACAAGTGCGTCTCACTGTAGCTAATAGATTATAAATGGTCTGTCGGGTTGATAATGGAAATAGACAAATCTAACAGCTGTCGAGTCACAGGACGCGTCATCTGCCTACGTCGGTAAAATTACGTATGCGGCAGTTCAAGAAAGGGACTGGCATCATACAATACAATCTGAATGCAAATAAAATCTTCCAGTCTTCTGAAAATCTACTGTGTTAAGACATTGAACATTGTCTCTATTTTGAAGATATTTGTGTGTCTATTTTGTGAATTTGTATTTTTATTTAATTTTTCTACTTCTTGAAGCCTTGCCTTGAATTTGGTTGTCTCTACGAGAGTTTGTATTGATTTATATTTATATATTTTTTTCATTGTTTCTCCCAATCCAACATACCAAGCACTCGTTCCCTGTCTTGCTCCGGTTGCACTCGCTCTCACGCCACACACACACAGGCACGAACGCACGCACGCACACACACACGCACGTGTACACACACAGACACAAACATA